CCCCCTCCCCCCCCTCCACCTGAGAGCAGCCAGGGCCGCTTCCGTGGCGGCCGCGGCAGTGGGAAGCAGGGCGTTGGCCTCTTTGAGGGCCTCCACCTGCCGCTTGCCCGCATGTTCGATGTCCCTCGCGGCCTTCATGACGACGCCGGCCTGCCCCGTTACGGCGGAAGCCTTCCGCTTCGTCTGCTCCATCAAGTCCGTGGTCTTCTCAACCTGGGGTATTAATTCGGGGGGGGAGGGGGACCGTAACTCATGTATCGCATGCCTTAGCTGTTAGATCACGCGTCGTCGAGAGGATGGGGGGCTGGAAAGGTCGTCAGGCAGGCAGGCAGGCTCTGTTGGTGAGGCTTTACTCCCTGCTCTAGAAAAGCACGACTATGTACACCAGCGCACACGCACAATAAGCAACGCACCCCGGGCCCTGACCTGGCACTTGGCTGCTGCCTCCTGCGATCCCACAGCCAGGTCCTTGGCCTCTTGGAACGAGCCGAGGAGCCGCTTGAGCGAGTCTTCCAGCCTGCGGATCTCTCCGGCCGTGTCACCCCCCTTGGCCGTGCGAGTTGCGGCGTCCAGCTCGTCGGCACTGACAAAAAAAGAACAAGAAGGCGATTTCGAGGAGGAACCAAGGATGAACATTTAGTCGAGGAACGGGAGCAGGAAATAAGAACATTTCTTCTGGAGCGCGTGAGTCTATAAACCTCGCAGTATTACGTTACCGTGCTAACGTGAACCTACGATGCCGACCTGTTGCTGCGAGAACGATGACTCATTGAGCGCGAATGGTTGAGGCCTGCAGGCTCCCAAGTATCATTAGATCGATCCATCTTGACACTCGGGCCAAACTTGTCGTGGGCTCGTGCCATAAAAGTGCGGGCAGGCCACAGGAGAGAGATCGATTGGTAACAAAACACAAATCGATTGTTCCACAACCAAAGAGGGCGCGAAAAACGCGCACAAACACGTGCAACGACAACGAATGGTCTCGACGAGAATTGTGCAAGCCATCCTCTTCCGGCTGAGGAACGCCGTTGCGGAGGGCAGCCTCTCGCTTGTGGAGGGATTCAATATATTCATCTGACCGCACCTGTGGGTTCACCCGCGCTTCTACGGCGCACTGCCGCTGTATCTGCCTCGCTTAGATCTGTTCGGCACGACTGCTGCCAGCTGGTCCTATCGACAGCAGTAGGTGATACCTTGGAACCCCGCGGTCCCACCCATTACGAAACGGCAGCCCCTTACGATGAAGACTCCGCAGGAAGGAGGACACACTCGAAACCCGCGTTCATTCGTTCATTCGTGGATACGCTGCCCGGTGAAGCACGCTACGTGAACCTTCCACGCCCACCTGTGCTTTCTTCCCTCGAAACGTTTATAAGTATGCTGTCCGTGACCCAGACAGTATGCAACAACTATTTCCGAGGTTCGGGTTTAGCGCACATTGTGGACGATGTCTCCAAGCCCCAGGAAGTTGTACACAACTATCATGTACGACAGCATCAACGCACATTGTGGACGACGTCTTGATGGTCTTGAGGGTCTCCTCTGATGCCGCCACGACGCGGTCCATGGCTCCCACCGCATGCTTCCCGATATCGTCCTCTCTTGCTGCCTGCATGAATTGGTCCACCTAGTGGAAGGGAGGGCGGCAAAAAGTCAACATTAGTACCGCTACGGTTCGCTAACCTCCAAACAGAAGCAAGCAGGATGACAAGTGACAAGCTTCTGGTTCATCCTTGCGAAACGTAGCCTGGGCCGGCGGAAACCCGGCATATCGCTCCGTCCCGCCATTGTACGGATGCGAGGTCAATGGTCTACCGACTACTGTACGGCGTGCATTTACGTGAGTGCCCCCCCCCCCCCCCCCCCCCCCCCCCCCCCCCCCCCCCCCCCCCCCCCCCCCCCCCCCCCCC